CTAGAAATCCATAGTTATATCTTATTGGATATTTTATCTCGTCTTATTTGTTCAACCGTCGAAATTATACAAAAAAAGAGCTTTTTACATCTATTAGTAGATGTCGAAAAATGTTACAAATCTATAAATTTTTATGTCATCTTTTTTTCGTTTAGAGCAACTAGACGATAGTTGATTCAATAGTTTAATGATGATCTTTTCGAATAAACATGCAAACTTTGATTGAAAATCTAGTCAGCCTATATATCTGAGATATACTAGTGCCCAAATCTTGCTTTTTAGTAATCGATTGTATGTTAAATTCAAATAATAAATACAGAGTTAATTTATTAAATATACACACGCTAATATTAATGGACAACCATTTTTTGACGATTCTTATGAGACCTTCAACTTGTGATTCCTTTTTGTCCCACTCGAAGGTAAAAATTGAAAGAAAAGAACCGTGCATTTCATATATAACTTCTTTTAAAGCTATTTTCTGATAAAAACCATTTTAAAGAAAACAAAGTATACCCTTTAAGATAACTTTATTTAAAAATAGCTCCAAAAAAAGTTATATATGAGTTACATGGCTTTTCCGGATAGAAAAATTTGTTTTATCAAATAATCTGTTTTTGACTCTTGTTTAATGAATATCTCGAAGAATGTAGATATAATGTAAAATAACTACAGAATTGTTAACTAAATTGTCAGATGTAATACGATGAAATTGTTTATTTAATTTATATAACTTTTTTTTTCTATTCAATATATAGACTTGCGTAGTCTTATTTACAAACAAGGACAATTAATATTTTCATTTATAATAATAAAAAAAAAACTCATATGTTAACAATCGAACAGACAAGATGGAAAGCACCGTATATAAAATGATAAAAAGAAAACGAATTTGACACTTTTAAGTGAACATTCATTTTTATTATTATTATTATAATTGAAAATATTAAACTTTATTTGATGATCCATTTGTTTTAACAAGTGTCTGTCTTGTTGGATCTTTGGATGTTACATGTCCTTGTGAACGATAATTAATGACTGTTTGATTATTATTTGGATAGAATTTTAATGTTGGTGATTGTTGTTGTTGAATTTCAAGTGTTTCTCCATGAGTAACTTTCGATGATCTACTTGTACAAGAACCAAGACGTGAATTTATTGTAGAATTTTTTAAAAATAATCCAATAGCTTTAACTGTTACTGATGAAGCTAGAACGAAAAAAAATAAAATTTTTCTTTCTCTTTAATTGAGTGTTTCATTTTGACGAGTAATAAAATAAACATAAACATAAAAGAATCTATTAAGTAGATTGATAATAACGACAACATGTAGGTAAACAGAGTACAATAGAAATGCTACCTGATCATTATGACAGTCAACAGTTTCATCAAGACTGAGACGAAAGAAACATGAGGAACGAAATGCTATATGAATTGAATTCAAATAGAGAATAAAATAAAAGAACAAAATATTTTCACTTACGAGGATTATATCGTACTGGAGAATTTTCTTGTGATTTTCTTGGTTGTTCAACATGTGATATTCGACTAGGAGCTTTTGATGTACGAGAATTATATGGATCATGTGGTAAATGAAAACCATTTTGATTAGCATGATCAAGTGTTGAATTAGGTAAACTACGTGTTTTGATTGTTGATTGTGGTTGTTGAGCAATAATAATATTTTCTCGTTGTGGACTTATAGAAGCTTTAATTGGTGCAAGACAATTTGAATAGACCGTTCGTCGTGAATTACTATATTCTTCTGTATTATCACCATGACCAGGAATAGATGACTGATTTCGTAGAATTATATCATGAATAGATTTTCGTGCAGCTAATCGTGGATGTGGTACTAATTCATTGAATGCTTCTTGTGTTAAACCACTAGTAATAGTACCATTATTACTACCTCGTACAATAAGATTTTCATCAAATAGATAATTTGGTTTATCTCGAGAAATTTTATTCGGATTATTATTTGATACAGATGGTTGTCGATATATTTCACGACGATTAGGTAATAATGGTTCATTACGATTAAGTTTATCAAGAACTACAACATCGGAGTAGCCATCAACAACACTACTACCTTTGACTGTTGATGGTGTACTTGCGACAGAAGTTTTATAATTTTGATCTGGCCAACCAAGACCTTCTTGAAGACGTCGTTCAATTAATGTATAAAATGCTCGAGCTGCTGTTGGTCTTCGATGTAAAACAGCTTCTTCAGTTTCTTGTTCGGAATAACCATGTCTTATTGAATAGAAACAATAGATTAATTATGAATTCTTTTTTTTTTATTTCATAACTTACTTAAATACAAGATATCTGATAATATTTTTATTGATTTCTTTCATATCCGAATTTGGTTTATATGGAATTAATTCAATAGGTCCTAAATGATGTACTAAAAATGGATGTCGAAGAATTTCTTGCATAGATATTCGTTTTGTTGGTGATGGTTCCAATAATCTTGTTAATAAATCTTGACAATCTAATTCATCATTATATATGTATATATAATAAATATGAATAGTATTTATATGATTACCTTTAGAAAGTGTAGTTGGTATTTCACATCCTTTAAGAATACATGCATGAAGTTTAGCAAGATTTCGACTACGTTGTTCAACTTTAAATGGAAGTTTACCAAGTAACATAGCAAACATATTAACACCAATACTCCATATATCAACAGATGGACCATATTCTTGATGTGCAAAAATTTCTGGAGCAGCATAACTATATACAAATATCGATAGAATACAAGAATATTTCTAAAAAAATAATTCAAACTCTTTCAAAATAGATATGCGATATTTTTAGAACGGAAACGGAAATGTTAAACTCAAACTGTGTTTTAACCTTCCCCTATATGAACTACACGTTCTACTAATAGACTAAATCTATCAAAGAAAATATTAACTTACGCTGGTGAACCACATTGAGTAGTTAAAAAACCTTTTTCATCAAGACTATTACTTAAACCAAAATCTATAATAATAATATCATTATTTTGATCAAGCATAAAATTTTGTAATTTTATATCTCGATGAATAACATTAGCACGATGCATATGATCAACAGCAGAAACAATTTGTCGAATATATTTTCTTGTTTCAATTTCATCTAATTGTTTTCTAATAGCAAAAAAAGATAGCAATTAATTTTCGGTTTAAATCTCATTTACTTTTTTGTTAAATATTTAACAAATTCCGTTCCTTGAACTAAATCTAATACAATATAATAAGAATTTTCTGTTTCCATAACTTCATGTAATTGAACAATATTTGAATGAGACATTCGTTGCATCATTGCAGCTTCACGACGTAAATTAGCACGTAAATAATTTCGTTTAAATACTTCACGTTTATTAATAACTTTAACTGCAACCTTAATAAGAATATCAAAATTTATTTTTAATTTAAGAAAATATCGTCAAAAATTTATACATACTTTCATTTCAGTAACTATATGAATGCCTAATCGTACTTTAGCAAAACTACCTTCACCAATTGTTTTTAAAATAATATAATTTCCAACTTTTTTACGTTTTTCATCAGATGGTATTTCACCAATATTAACTGCTGATGTTTTATCTGGTGTTACGGTATTGATTATCTCTTGAACCATGATTACTTTGTTTTTTCTTGATTAATTTTGAAAGAAAAATAAAGTGAATAATGCCTAGAATATGTATATATATATAAGCAAAAGAAAATAACTACATAAACATCTACAAAACTCATATGTTCTACTATGTGATGAATATATATATACTAATCATTAGACGTCCGGAAATAGAAATATAACACGATTAAAAATAGCCTGAACTCCTACTGCGTTCTTTTATTTAACATCAGTTGGATTTCAACTCTTTATATGATATCCACCTTTCTCATTAAAAGAATATTTAACTATTTATTCTTAATTATCATCATTTAACTATTTGAGAAGCTTTATTTTTCATACCTGACTTTTATTTAATTCTTCGAAAATATTATTAAGAATATTAAAAATGACACTTATTTATAATAATAGATGATGACAATAAATGAAGGTTAATGAAGACTATCCCATACTTTGTAATTATTACCATTAGGAAAAGAAATTTTTTGCTTGGGTATGTGACATATGTGTGTGTGTGTGCGTTTGAAATTATTAAGAAACTGAGCGAGAAAGAATAGAGTAAAAATAAAACGGTAACGGCCAACACAACGATGTCGATTATGAGATGGATGACTTCTCACATGTTAAAATTCATCGTCATCAAATAAGCAAAGAAAATGACGGTGAAAACAACAAATGCGAGTAGCCACCGTTATAATAAAGTCTCGATTTTCATTTTCTTTTTTTCAATCAACCGTTCGTTCTCATTATGCTTATAGTTGAGTCTCTTGTTATATTTTCTCTCTCTCTCCCTCTCTTTCTTTTTTATATGGTTAATTGAATTCTTATTGAAATGAATGAACATAAAAATGTATCGGACAAGAGAAAAAAGAAAAGAAGAAATCAAGCATCTACTTCGAAGAAATATTTCTAGTTTTTAATTAAACGAACGAACAAGAATGTAAATGTGATTTTAATTAGTATCATATACCTTGAAAATTACCTGAACGTTTCTTTATTTTCTATTTATTGCTTAAAATCATACCGTATTTTTTGTTTGTAAAAAAATATAATGACTAAGCAAAAATTAACTGCGCATTCGCGCATAAATACACTCACAATGCTATGTTTTTTTTTCAAGGTATTGATGTTTGTTTACTTGTCTCTTGTCTTCTATCTTGTTTTAAGCTCCAACAATAATAAATTCTTTCGATATGTTTTCTTTCTTTCTCTCTCACTCTCTCTCTCTCTCTCTATTTTTCTGATTTGTTTTACTCTTTATTCTTGACAACATGCAAATGATAAGTATATATATGACAACTGTATAAATTCCTTTAAAATGAAAAAACTAATGAGTCATTATTATTTGACTCAATAGTTTTCGCTTGTTCTCTTCCAGAGACAAAAATCATATAGTAAGATGAACAAACAATTGTGCGTGCAACATTACTTACATGGTAATCTCTTTTTTATATCAACTACTATATAAATAACATAATCATTTCTTGTTCTATTATTGACATGATAGATTATTGATTAGTATATATGTGAATAGACTAAATAAATTTGTTGATTTTAATGAATGTCATTTGCTAGCAATGACAAATACGTGATATATTTCTCCGGTCAAAACAACATTTTATTATTTATGTTTGATCTCCTTAAGGTATTTTCTCCTTGTTGATATATAAAAGGAGAAAATATACTGCAAGAAAATCGTTTGTTATCAAATTTTAAAGTATGAGCATTTGTGAAAGAAGTATCAAGATAAGCAAACAATATCATTGAATTCATGGACAAATGAATATCAATACTTTTGACTGAACGTGATAATTTAGTTGAATATTATCTACCCATTGAATATGAAACTAAAATTACAGACATTGATATTCGTGTGCATAAAGAACAAACATTAAATGTTTGATCATTAGAAATTAAAATGATTTTGTTAAAACATGTCGTTGGTATAGCAATTAGATTAAGGGCCCCCCCCGGGTCAAAAAATTTTTTTTTTCCAGAGCACTCAATCTTAGTGAAATTTTTACTGAATATGTATCCGACCTTGGATAGTCTTCAGTAAAAAATTGAGCTCATAATATAGAGTTTTGCACGAGTTATCCTAATATTAAGGGTCAAAAGTAGGTCTTCGTAGTTCCAAGATTTTCTTCGCAGTTTTAATGATATCGATCTCGGGATAGCGCTAAAATGTGCAGAACACTTGTCTCTACAACCTAACAAAGCCGGTTTCTTGAAAAAAAAGAAAGTGTTTCCTGAAAAAGGTTTTTGGAAAAACTTGAGGTTATCTCTTTAGAAAACTCGATTTTTTCATAACGAACTAGG